CAGCCCCTCAGGCGTGCAGGAGGATCCAGGGGCCTACAGGAGGAGTTCTGGAGGTAAAGGCCACTGGCCAGGCAGGGAGGGCCCCAGGACGCCGTCCATTTCCTTTCCCCACTCCGAGCAGGGTTCCACAGCCAGGCCCTCAGGCCCTGGCCTCTGCATGTAGGTGGGGGTCACCGCATGTTGGGGGCGATCCCTGTCATGTCGGCTCGGCACGTCAGAGGCACTTCATCGGTCCGTGATCACCATCCAGCGTGGCTGTGAGAGTAGGGCTGAAAGCTCCAGAAGGGAGGAAGGGGGCAGGGGGAGGGGTAGGAGGCTGAGAACAGAAGACACAGCTCTGGCTCCCCGTAGACACTTGGGGCATAGTTTCGAATTGGGCGTTGTCCTCGTGTTCGCGTGGGCTGGGGTAGCATTTCCACTCGCTGTAGATCACTGGTACTCAGTAGCTTCTCAGACTATTGGGAAAGTCGAATTGAGACGGGCTTGCTGGCCTCGGAGTAAAGACCTGATTTGGTGCCGCCGGAGGAGGCTGATGTGGCTTTCCTCAGTAGAACCCCCTGGAGGCGGCGCCCCAGAGGGGCCAGGGGCAGGATGGGAGCGCGAGTCAGCGCATGTCAGTCTGTGAACAGTGACCGCTTTGGAGCCAGAGACTGCTGTAGAGGCCAGGGGCCTTGGGAGCCCCGTCCCACCCCTACAGGGGCCTCGTGCGGGCTTCCCACAGGGCCCAGGCCCCCCCAGACCCCTCCTCCCGGCCCTGGTCCAGGAGCTGACGTCGTGCCCCCTGTGGTGAAGACAGAGGACAGCCGGGCCCAGAGCCCCCCAGTGCCTGCGTCCTGTCAGCCCAGCAAGTGGACCCACAGCCCCTCTGCCACCAGCAGCCAGGGGAGCAGTAGAGACACCAGAGGGGTCCAGGTGCCCAGCTGGGGCCCCGTAGCTCAAGGTGAGGCCTGGGGGCATCTGCTCGAGTCCTCCCCAGTGGGATTCTCAGCCCCACCAACAAGGTTCTGCCCACCCACAGAAGAGGGAGTAGGTCCAGGCCACGGGGGAGGAGGGAGGGACCACGCCGTCCTTGTCTGGCAGTGACTCCCCTCTCTTAACCCACATCCTTCTCAATCCGGGCACCCACCCCGGAGCCTTCCGTTGTAAGGAGCCTTCCGTTGTAAGGACTTTCGTTTTGCAGAGGTTCTCTGCCTGCCAGGAAGCTGGCCCCTGTGTACTAGCGGGTCTCTCCACCCCACCCCTGGGCCTGGGGTACAGATTGTGTCCTTCCCATGTAGGAACAGAGAACAAATCAAAGTCCCCCTGAGGGTGTCCTGCCTGGCAGGCCCCCATGCCTGGTGCGGGACTTGTCACCCCTGCAGCAGGCAGGTTGGGGCAGCCAGCCTGGGGCCGGGCCAGGGGAATGTGCCCGAGATGGTGATAGGGCCGTCTCCCCTGTCCCAGCCGGCAGTGCCTCGAGCTCGCCCCTGGAAGCCCTGGAGGCCTGTCTGAAGGGCATTCCCCTGAGTGGGTCGTTACCTCCCCAGCCGCCGGCCACCGCCACCTCTGGGTTCCGGAGCCCTCAGCCGGGAGATCCCGGGTCTCAGAGGCCTGAGCTGCAGCCCCGAAGATCACACAGTGAAGGTAGATGGGGCCCTGGGCACAGGGTGGCATTTGTCCCTGCGCATGGCATAGGAAGACACTGAGGACGTCGTTAGGTCCCCCACTCCTCATCCTGGGCCATGAGGTGCATGCCCTTCTCTAGCTCCCTTACTGATGCCTGCCCCCAAGCACTTCCTGAATGTGGGGGAAACCAGTTCAACTCTTCCTGCACACTGCCTCCTCTGAGAGCTCTGGCTTACCTTCTAGTCCCAGGAGACCAACAGTTGGGTTCCCACGGGTTTTTTAACCAGAGCCGTGAGCCCCCAGCCTACGGGGAAACCCCTGTGGGAGATCCTGTGGGGTAGGTCTCCTGGTGCCCACCCAGGGCCCCGGGGACCTCATGCCCAGTGGCTTTCTCATGATGTCAGCTGTGCTGTTTCCTGCAGAGGTGGCTATGGGGCCTCTTCTGGCTCTGAGTCTGCAGGGCTATGTGAGAGGCAGCCCTGCCCTCCCCTCAGGTCCCCACAGCACCCCTACCAGCTTCTCCTCATCCAGCAGCACCGATGGGGACCTGGATTTCCAGAGCCCAGGGGGCAGCCAGGGGCGTCAGCCTGGAAAAGGTGAGCTGCCGGGCCTGCGGCCGTCAGTCCTGGGAAAGGGTGGGCTCTTCCCCTGCCCACATCGTCTGACCCGACCAAGTCCGACCGCCCTACCCAGTGTCTGGAGCAGAGCTGGGGATGTTGAGGCAGGAGCAAACCCAGGACTTATTACAGGGTGGGAGGGGGAGAATGGGGGATGGGGGGTTGAGGGGTGGGGAGAGGAGTATCCATTTTAACAACTAGGCTCAGAAGGGGCAGGACAATATCTAAGGTCTCTTAAAAAATAGAAAAGGGTCTCCTTTAGTGTCAAATTCTCCCTTGTCCCAGCCACAAAGAAATGCCTATGATATCAAACTGACCTCTGACTTAGGAAAAAAAGTTCAGAGGTTCAGGTTCATGTAAAACCACCTTAAGGAGTGTCTGTGGTGACCTGTGTCTCTCCTAGGTGCCCCCACGGGGAGGCATCCACGGTGAGCTGTCACACCTCTTTGGAACCTTGCAGGACTCTGTGGGGTCCCCTCTTGGCCTTTTTACCCACTTGAATAGTCCAAGCACTGCCCTGTCCGCACTCGGTCCCCCTTTGCTCACCTCATGTGTTGTCTGTGGAAAGCCTAGGGCTGCCCCAGGACTCTGGGCCAGGCTAGCTGAGGCCCGCAGATCACCACTGGGGGCTCCAGTGTCCACGGCAGCCCGGATTCCTGCATCCTGCCACAGTCAGCTGCTGGTGTGGGGGCTTTTTCCTCCCCAAATGCAGCCAACTTCTTTTTTTAACGTTTAGTTTTTATTTTTTATTGATTTTATTTTATATTTATTTATTTATTTTTATTTTT